TTGCCCCATCATTCCAGTGTTTCCTTGTGACACCACTTGGATGTTGCATTTTGCCTTAATGGCTTTCTTAGAAATAACCAGTTGAAACCAGAACACGAACAAAACCAGCCATCGATAGTGTGGATACAAAGCCCTGCTTACTGCAAAAGAGCAAACCAATGCTTGTGTCGAAACAATCAACCACTCCTTTTGCTCAGCTTTCCACTGAACTTCAGCTGTCGTGTCCAATGAAGACGAAAAAGAAAATAATTTTACATATTTGTATAAAATACTAGAAGTACATTGTCAAAAATGTGCTTAAAGTACTGCAAACTCGCCGCCATAGAGCAGATTCTGATGAGTACAATTAGGAATTTTGCGTCTCCTGGGAAATTTTTCTCTCATATTTTTCTACTAGTAATATTTTCCTCACTAAGTTAGAACATCTTGATAAAACGTAAGTCCACTATTCAATCTTTGGGTATTTAACTTTGATAAGAAATACTGTTAGACAAATTGTATTTGCAATGTCAAGCATACAAGCATTTCATTAATTAATGTTGGTGAAAATATACGCGCCAAGATCTCATTCCATCACCATCTGATGCACAACCCCCTGGAAGTGATTACATTCTTCAGGTCGTGCAAATATTCTGGCCATTCTTCTCCCAACTCTTCTTCCAGCACTGGCTGGATGAGGCTTCAACTCAGCCTCTAATGTTTGCTCATATATCGTGTCACATCACATGGTATCATGTCATAGCACGTAATATTCCCACTTGACAAATAAATCTTGGCTCACACACAAACATTCACCTGCCCACTTGAGTTCCCACGGCACCGTCCACCTACCTTGAAGCGGCTCTCACTCTCTCGGCCTCCTTAGGCTTTCACGGCACTAATCTTCCGAGTTTGATTTCCAGGCATGGACATCATCTCTTCCCTTCACACATTCTGTCTCCTGGGTTTGTCATCAAAGCCTGTAACACAGAGGAGAAGCTCCTTCATTTCTGTCGGCACCCAGGAGAGAGCCATCAATCCCTGTCACTGACACTTCTCATGTCTGCCTCATTTCCCCTGTCCGGCTGCAGTTTAATCACAGTTCTAGAAAGTCGCCTGATCCGATGAGAGGGAAGAAATGGAGGCTCTGCCCCTCCCCTGAGAAGAATGTATCTCAAATGATGGCACTGAATCTGCAGCTTCAGGAGAAGGATATAT